AACCCCCCCCAAAGTCCATCAACCACCATCCCACCACTACCCCCCCCCCCCCGCCGCCCATCTCCCCTCGTTTACCCAGCAGCAGCAGCTTCACCTCCCGGGCCGCCTTCTCTCCGTCGTCCCGCAGATTCCTGTCGATCATTTTACTGCGTTCCACCGCCGCCTTGTCCTCGGTGCTCAGTGTGCATCCCATCCTGGACTCTCTGTCTCTCTCCCTCCGACAGGAGAGGAATCTTTTGTGTTATAAAAATAGAAAAACCAAACCTCTAAAATCTCCTCATGAAACGGTTCGAACTGCCTTCACTCCGCGCACACACGCCCTTTTTGAACGACAGTCGATTTCGTCAGGGAGGCAAAAAAGGGGGGAAAAAAAGAAGAAAAAGGAGGTTCAATTACGACTAGTGTGGACGAAGACAAAACACCTTTGGGGATAAAATGTCTTTAGATGAAGCAAAATCTTGGTGACATCCGTTTGGTGGCTATTTAAACAACGAACAGATTCCTCGGAGATGCGTCTTCCACCCGTTCGCCTCCATTCGTTGCAGCTGTGGCTCTTTACTAATGTGAGAGCTGCTCTGACTGAACTGACCGCAGGCAGCAGCAGCAGCAGCGACAGCTTTGCGAAAAGCAGCGACGACCGCACATCCGGTGACTTTCAAAATAAACGACAATAAATTTTATTTTGTAACAGGAAGTGGCTCTAATGTTTAAGGAAATTCCTAAATTACAGTCAAATATAAGTCTTCGACGGGCGTTAACGACCCTAAGGATGTCCAAAAGGATGCTTAAGAAATGTTGTGAAAATATTTGCAGAATATTTGTATTTTGCTTCAAAGGAAAGCACTTTGAACCCCAAAAATTCACAACATAATTCTTTTATCGCCAGCTCCTGTAGCAAAATTATGTCTGTAACAAATAAAAAAAATCCCCACAATTATTACATTACGTGCATTTCATAAGAAATTAAAATTACAAAAAATAAACAAACATTTATTTAGAATTGCTCAAATACATTTTATGCACAGTACCTAACCATATCATGCCATCACCTGTTCTCTGCACTGTCATGTTTTGTCCCTGTGAAAGTAAACCCTCCAGCTGTGGCAGTGCCGCCGCTAGGTGACCATTGTTTGTAGTTTAAATAATTTAGCATGTCGCAACAAAGTCAAGTGTGACTCTCCAAAGTCACCGGTCAGTGTGAGCGTTCCTTGGAAAAAATTCCACATGAACCCGCTCACACACCTCTCCTGCAAATCTCTATTTTAAATATGGTTGTGTTTCAGGGGGAAAGTACATGCAAATCTGCCACAGTGCCCTTTCTTTTCTTACACAGCTCTTATTCCATCTCTGTCACCCAGGCTGAGATAACAGCGGGCTCAGACCTAAGACAAAAAAGGTTACGGTCTTATATCTTATTGAAAATATCACAGAGTATGCATACTGGGAGAGGAGATTAACGTTCTTTTATCAGCGTTTATGGCCAAACGTGTCATTGTTGGAATTATTTATCCTTGTGTTTTTTGTATGGAGGTTGTGCATAGGCTGTAGATTGTCGTTGGTCATAGTAAAAATATTATACCACATTAAACAAGGATCTAAACCTTTTTTAACATGAGGCCCAAATTTTATAGTCCAAAGTGGCCCGGGGCACATTATATATAAATACTGTATAGGTTTAAGTGAAGTTGGGACTATACGCAAATATTTAGTCCGCAAAAGAGTGGAGGGTAATTCGCACAAAGTCTGTCCTCATTTTTTTGTTGTAAAAACATCTCCATACTTTTTGCTAAAGCTAACGTAGAGAAGGAGACAGTCTCCTTTCCTGTATATTGGAGCTAGTCAAAGAACTGACTGCTGCATTACTGCCACCACATGGTCAAAATTGTAACTGCGTTGTAACTGAGCTTCTCATGGATAACATATGCGGACCCGCAGCCTTTGCAGAGCACATGTACAAGACTGAAGGTTTTCTGCGGCCACCTAGGTGGCACTGGTGGCCCAAGTGTGGCCCCCGACCCTATGGTTGAGAATCACCGTACTAAATTACATTTAATCTGCTCAAGATGTTTTGAGGAACGTTTGTGTTGCTGGTCAGCAAGTCATCCATTGTTTGACTTGACAAAAAACAAACAAACAACCACTTTAATCAGGGGTCCAATCATCATGGGACTGAGGTGGAGAAATGGTGAAAAATTATATCTGTGAAACCACATGTTTGTAAATGTTACCAATAAAAACTGCAGTGTTGAAGCAGCTGGTGGATACGCAGTGTGTGTGTGTGTGTGTGTGTAGGGTTGCTGTGTATCCACCACAAAACACAAACCCAGGTGTCGTTGCAGGACAAACAGTGCAGTCACCCAGGTGAAACTGTCACTGTTTGACTGGAGCCTTTGTTTACATAAACAGAGACAGGAGTCAGACACAGGATGATGCAGTCATGTGGCGAAAGAAAAGAAAAAGAAAAGATAAAAAGCCATTGCTTTCACGTTTGTAATTAGGAAGTGGAATGGCGGTGCTGCCCTCCGGTGGTCATGTTACGCACACGGTGCTGCAGAGTAAATGTAAACTACGGTATGCACAGTGAGGGTTGTAATGATTAATTATTATTGACTCACGATTAAAATAATAATGAAATAATTGTAGGCTTCGTAATTAATTATAAGAGATTAATGTTAATTTAAAAATAATTCGTGATATTAAGGAAGGAAAGCAATTGTTTTTTTAAATTCAAATACAATTTGGTTGACAATTAATATACAAATTAACGTTTTTATTGAATTTTTTTTTATGCTGAGTTCATAAATTAATGTTGCAAATAATGAAGTAATACGACTTCGTTACAGCAAGTATGAAAGAAAAAATTCTCCAGGTCGAAAGATTTTCCTCATAACAAAAACATCGATGCTAACTTTTTAGCATCAACCACTGGCAAAGTGGAGGAAAATAGCTGGTCAGCCGTTGATAGTGAAGAGCTATTTGGTCGTGTAAATGCACAAACTTCCACCATTTTGACAATACTGTGTCAAAATGTTTAATTCATCATTTTACAGTACGTTTTTATGTTGGATTTATTTCAAATGCACTGAACCTGTCGAGGCAGCCACCACTAACAATCACGTCTTTCACATCTAACCCTTGTTAAATTGTTGTTGTTTTTTTTAAATATCACAAAATATGCTCCGTATGCTACGTATTTAAAGGTTTACACTATAAAATAAGAGTCAGTGACATTAAATGGCCAATTGTCATGACCATAAAAGACTATTCATTTACTCTGACGTCAAACCTTCGTGAAGCCGAAACATCTGCAGAACTATAGTGAGGAGTCCCAGTGTGTTTTGTCCAACATCTGACACCGCCTAAAACAAGTTCAATTCAAGGCATCTGTCACCTCCTGTTTTATAGCCACAGAAATCGATTGACTCTGTCGGACTTCTTGGTTTAAAAATCTGGACCAATTAAATTTATATTTGAATATCAGTGATTTATAGTTCAGAGCAAACATGGGCAAACTAAGGCCCGGGGGCCGAATGCGGCCCGTTCAGCTTTTTATTACGGCCCGCCAAACTTTTCCAACTTATATAATTTATTGATATTATCATTATACTTCGGCCCTTTCCCTGTAATACCCATGTTTTCCCAATAGATGGGGTAGAAAATTATAAAAGCATTTTAGCATATTAGCCTTTATGCATGACTTTTACATGTCATTTATCTTAGTTCACAACAAGAGCAAAATTCACCATTTTAATAACATTAACTGTAGTTGGTTGACGTCTGCTGTAGCTCGGCTACGTGAGTTTGAGTCAGTATGTGTACCGCAGTCCGCCTATTGAGCATCCCTGGTGTATTGTACATAGATGTACATATTTGTCTTTAGATTTGTTATTATTCATTATTATATCCCTGATCACAGCAGATATGCAGTGACGAATGAGGAAGCGTTTTTTTTCCTCCCCCCCACACACTGATCTAAGGTTACCAGACATGACATGACATCCAATCGCCTGTTACTTAAAAAAAAATCTGTTAATGATTGGAAATCACTTCTACCCAAGCTTGGAGAGAGTGTCTCAGAAATATTAGTTCCTCGTTTGTTTTTCCTGAAGTTGTATAGAAGATCCAATCAAGATCCAATCCAGAAATATTTACAAGTGTGGCTGAGACATTTAGACTCCAGCTGATCTATTTTTTTTCACAAAAGAAACTGAGCAAAAAATTGAAGAAAAAAGAAATCCAAACAAAAACAGTTGCTGTGGTGTAAACTGAACTGAACTTCACTTCACCGCAAAGTAACACCTTCTCCAACCTTTCTCCTCACCCAATCGCTGTTGTTATCACCATGGTCCTAACGTGCAGCCTGTGAACTTTAAACCTCCACTCCTCCTTATGTAACCTCATTTATAGGTGGCCCTCTTCAGAGCCCGGTGTCTGCACCTTTACCTGGCCCTCGGCTGCTCCGTCAGCTCCTGTGAAGGTACAGTCTGCCCGTGCTGCCTCACCAACGCAGACAGGCTGCACGTACAGTACTGGGGACTAATAACAGAGTCAGAAGGAGAGCAGGCTGCCAGGGAGACGCAGAAAATCAGACGGAGGGAAGGGAAAAAAAAAACAAGCAAACAACCATGTGCTGCTGTAACAAGGAGTGCGGATTCATATTCGGAGCTGTGGTCGGGGCTGTGCTGGCCGTCCTCGGAGGCATCCTCATCCCACTGGGTAACGGCATCATCGAGGATACGGTGAAGAAGGTACGGTGCTCTTGTTTCACCCCGGGTTATTTTTTTTTTATTATTGTGCCTGCTGAGATCAAGGTGAAGAGAGACGAGAGGAGAGGAAAGTGATCTGAGAGGCTGACTGTGCTCTCATGAGTCACCAGAGGAACATTTTCCCCCTGATTTTTTTTTTTTAAAAAGCAGAAAAATGCTGCCTTTTGATGATGGAATGTAATGTATCAAAGGGGGCAGCTGGCCAAGTGTGTTTAAAAATAGACTGTCTGTTTCTGTGGGGTTTAGGAAGCCGTCATCGAGCCTGGCACGACGGCGTACGACAACTGGGTTACCACAGGGGCGACTGTGTACAGGCAGTTCTGGTTCCTAGAAGTGAAAAACCCCATCGAGGTCATTCAGTACGGGGCGAAGCCGGTGGTCCTGGAGAAGGGACCGTACACGTACAGGTAAAACCAGCGTTTACTTCTTTCCTCCCCCTCGTCTGTGGAATGTGATCCAGGGATGAATGACGTACAGAACGGTCTCCTGCTGCCAAATGTGACCTTGACCTTTCCCGTCCAGGACGAGGTTTCTCCCCAAAGAGAACATCACGTTCAACCCAAATCAAACGGTCTCCTACCTCCTCCCCGTGGGTGCCATATTTGAGCCGTCCATGTCGGTGGGACCCGAGGACGACAAAGTCACCTCCCTTAACCTGGCTGTGGCTGTAAGTGAGTGTCACCCCACTGTGCGGTGATTTCCGATTTGACTCGGAATGCAAGGCTGTGAAAGATCAAGCTGTGAAGCGTTATTAGAGGATAGGGTGTGTGTGTGTGTGTGTGTGTGTGGTGAAAGTTTTTCAACCAACAACCCTTTATTGACCGTGGTCCTCACACAGTTCAGTACCGTGTCGTCATTTACCTCCAACTAATATGAACTTCCGACCGCTGTATGTCATTTTCCGCTAAACAGGATCCTGTGTTCATTCATCATCCTGAATTAAACTTGACTGAAAACGAGTGATACAGACATTTTCAGCAGAACATTTGCAACTGACTAATCGTTGCAATAAGTCTACTCGCCCCCTGGTGGGCTGTGCTTGTTACTAGATCCTAGCCATTGCTCTTTCACGCAGGCAGGACCCTGATCCACTGGGTAACGACGTGGATATTAGTTTCTAGTCACTCCAGCAGCAACACGAGTCTGACTCTCCACGTAGGAAGCTAATTGTTGAACCAAATAATAAGTGGGCAGCAGGTGTTACAGAGAGAAGTGCTGGTGCTAAGGCTTTAACAGCTAACACAGAGAGAATATTTTTAGTCTGTGATATTTAACATTATTTTTATATATTCTGCCCAGGATGAAAGCTAAGCTAAAACTAGCATGTTTCCCTAAAAGCAGAGAGTAATTAGTTTACAACAGCTAATTAGGTCAGCAAATTCATTACATCGCAACTTCATAAATAAGCTGATTAGCGCGCAAGCTAAACTAGTAGATTTAAAAAACAAACAAACAAACAAACAAAAAAGGTCATTCTCCTTTAAGACTTTTTTGTTCTTTCAACAACACTACAACTCAGATGACAGGAGTCAGCGTCACTGTTGATACTTTATCAAACGTTTACGCTGTATCTGTGCAATAAACCAGGCTACATCCTTATCTCTCCAGGCACTGGAGTTCACAGAAGTTATATATATTTATTTATTTATTCTGTTATTTTTTTTTCTTATCCTTAATCTGAGCTGTTTGGATTTTCTTTCTGGATCTTTCTCTCATGAATAAATAACATGTATATTCATTTCCAGGGAGCCTATTCCCTGATCCCTGCATTGTTCCATGCTGTCCTGGAGACTATGATAAAAAGGAGCAACTCGTCATTATTCCAGCACCGTACAGTCAAGGACATGTTGTGGGGCTACACAGACCCTATGTTGAAAGACACAGTGGGTGTGTTTGCACCTGTAAGTAGATTTAGTATTGAACGATATTGGCACAATGTTAACATAAGCAAAATGACCAAAGTGTAATGTCCTTCCCTTCGTAGTACAATGGCACCTACGACGGCCCCTACACTGTCTTCAATGGAAAAGACGACATCTCTAAAGTAGGAGTCATTGACCGGTGGCAAGGAAACACGTAAGTCCAAACAGGGCTATAAAAAAAATTACTGTCATTGAACCCAAACCAGTAAAAGGTAGTAAAACAAAATAATAGGGCATATATAGGGCCGTATCCTTAAAAAAAAAAAAGCAAAGATTTATGAGACATAAAATAATAGGGCATCGCCGTATCCTTAAAAAAAAAAAGCAAAGATTTATGAGACAAAGCAACAATGTCCGACAGACAGAATAGGGCTAACGGTAAAAAAAACTGAAATATACCTCAACACTTGTGTGAAAATAAAGCTAGTTACTGTGAGGTGTAGCAATAAAAAAACTCTGAGAACAAACTAAACACAACATATTTTAAGCAAAAATTAAAAAAAAGCAAAATTAGTCTTAAAACGATCTTCTATTATACTTATTTTTTCTATTTTTTGAAAAAAACGTGGCCATAATTAACTTGTCCGGGTGTCATGATTAGGACCCTAAGCCAGATTTTGAATATAACTGATTTGAATTATAACTGAAGGAAACAAAGAACGTTTTTAAAAATCATTTTACATTTATATTTAATTATTTTCTGATTTAATTCTGCCCTACAGGAGCTTGTCTTTCTGGGACGACAAGTACTGTGACATGATTAATGGAACAGGTAGTTGTTGTTTTTTTTTTTGTTGTTTTTTTTGTAAATATAAATGTGTAATTTATAATATTTGGGCACCTAAACCTTCGCTGGACATACTTCTCGTCTCGTCTTTCTCAGATGCCGCCTCCTTCCCTCCCTTTGTGAATAAAAAGGAGCCGATCTTTTTCTACTCGTCAGACATCTGCAGGTAATAAACTGGTTTAATCTCACGAGATTAAACCTAATCTAATCTAGTATGGTACCGATTTGGAAACGCAAAGTGTCAAGGACAGAATTATCAGAGTGCGTGAAAACATGGTGTCATTTGGAGTTCATTTCTCTCAGCGACCACTAGAGGTCAGAGCTTCACAACGTCAAAAAACAGTGAAGTGAAAGTCAGTTTGGATTGAGTTTCCTTGTTGAGGTGAAGACAGACACGGTGGAGATTCTCACCGTCTCCTTTTCTCACCAGGTCCGTGTCTGCCAGCTTTTGGAAAAGCCTCAATCTGAAAGGGATTGAAGTTTACCGTTACAACCTCCAGGAATCAACCATGGCCTCCCCCACGGTCAACCCAAACAACAGGTGCTTCTGCAGGAACCCAAAGACCACCAAGAACTGCACCATGGCTGGAGTTCTGGACATCAGCTCATGTCAAGAGGGTCGGTGTGCACTTTATTCCGACCGTTACCCATTTGGACCACTTGACGTCACTGTTTTTATTAAACTGCGTGTCGCTGTTTCCTTGCCATCTGAACAGGAAAACCAATCTACATCTCTATGCCGCACTTCCTGTACGGCAGTCCAGACCTGCACCAGAGCGTTCTAGGACTCAGTCCCAGTGAGGAACACCATAACACCTTCCTAGACGTGGAACCTGTGAGCACCACCAGTCCATCAGCTTTCAGATCACTAAATACAAAGACTAGTTGTAGTGCTAATGTTTTTTGTTTTTGTTTTTTGCCTGTTAGACAACTGGATTCACCCTGAGGTTTGCGAAGAGAATTCAAATAAATATGGTCTATGGGCCGTCAAAACAAATCACGTGAGTACAGCAGAATACTGTGTTGACATTGGCTAATGCACTCGTGGAGAGCAATATTTGCATTGTTGTGAGTTTGTATAACGTGTCTTCGTGTTGATTACATTTTTTCAGATGTCGAAAAATGAATAAAATAACAAAATATTCACTATTTTGTTATTTTATTCATTTTTAAAAACAATTCAGATTAGACATTTTCTGCGCACGTGTGGCTGTGAAGAATTTGAGGGTGGCAGGGATTAGATTTTCTAGATTTTCTACGCATGTGTGGAGTGGCTGTGAAGAATTTGAGGGTGGCAGGGCAGGTGAGGAGGTAGTATGTACCTGTAGAACCGCGGTCCCCAAATTTTTTTGTATCAAGTAATAGCCGGCTCATACCGGCCATTTCTGCGGACCGGTAGCATTACGCAAATTGTTAAAGGATCATACCGGCCATTTCTGCGGTAGCATTACGCAAATTGTTAAAGGATCGTTAAATTTACAAAACAAAACATCTTTGAGAATTTATTCTGTTAGTATCAAAGTCTAGGATACATATACAGTTTTTGAAATATTGTCATTAAATGAGGAATGGATTCTCTTGGAATTAAGTAAATCTGTAAAAATTATATATTTTTCACTTACCGACGGACCAGTACCAGTCCGCAGACCAGGGGTTGGGGACCCAGATAATAGTGAGGTGTCATGCCAGAAAAACTAGGTTTAGCTAGTAGCTGGTAAAGAGCTGATAAAATATGTAGTCAAACAACAAGTGTTGTTTGCAGATGACATTGTATTGTCTGTGAAAAATAGCTGAGCAGTTGGAAGGTTTGAGAGCTGGATGAACAAGGCTAATTGGCAGAAAAGTGTGCGATAAGAAAAGACCCCGTCTGACCTCATGTCGCAATTAAAATTTTTGAAATATTTTTAGACTTTTTTTTTAGATGAAGAGAGAGGATCTGACACAAGAAAGAGTGACAGAAGCCAACAGAATTTTAAATCAGAACATTCCTGTAGCGAGATTAATGTTGAGTTTGCCTTCATCGGTTTGACAAATCACATAGTCCGTAATCGCTCATGTGACACAGCTGTTGGATGAAAAGGATCCTGAAGACGGAGCTGCTAGGCAGCAGGAAATGAGGAAGAAAGTAGTGCAGACGGTTGGAGTAACTGTAGAGGAGGTGAGGGATAGAGTAAAAAGGGATCGGATGTTCTACTGCTGCAACCTCTGGGGGGCGCCACTAAAAGAAGAATACAAAGCCAAGATTAGCGCTAGGCTAACTGCACAGATTACCCAGTGCGACGTTAGAATGGATAATCTTTTCACAGTCAATTCCCCTGAGTGCATCTCCATAAATGTCATATTATTTAGGCCAAATCACAAACACGTACTGAAACGCGAACTAACTCCTCTGCTGCAGGGTCCTGAAGAAAATCAAGGATTACACCATATTCCCTATCGTTTGGCTGAACGAGGTAAGATCATAATTCTCTAATTCGGGAAAATTCTGCATGGTTGTACGTCGCTCTCTCGTTTATTTTATCTTCTTGTTTGCAACCAGACGGCTACGCTGGATGACGAAACAGCCGACATGTTCAAGGAGGAGCTCACGTCCCGCATCCAGATGCTGGAGACTCTACAGCAGGTGCTGCTGGGCGTGGGTTTGGCCCTGTTCGTCCTGAATCTCATCTCCTACTGCGTGGTGAGGACGAACAGAAACAAAAGGAACATGGTGTGATTGTCTGTAAAAGCGTGTGTTGGAGCGGCTACAGGACGTAGCGACGTCTTTGACAGAGACTTGCACTTTTTTGTAATCGTAGTGTTATTTAAAATGTTATTTCCTTAAATAAGAACAATGGGAAAACTGTGATTTTTCTGTAAAGCTGGAGATTTCTTTTTTGGGGTGAAGCCATGGTTTTATTTCAAGTGCAAACACTGTAACTGTAACACAATCAGGGATTTCTCATAGGAGAGAAAGTGGAGATTATCTTTTGGGGGTGGGTGGGTAGGGTGGGGGTTAGAAACCCTTAGAAAGCCTGCAATTTTATGTGGGCCCCAGTTAGGTGGATACAATGTGCACAAAGAAATGTGGCCCACAGTCCTGTGTGGACCTCCGTCTTATTTTACGTGCTCAAGAAAATGCTCCGTATGGACGGGTGAGCAGAAGTTAGCGTGAACGCAGAAGACAAGTTTGTCATCTGTATTTTGTGTGCTAAAAGTACAAGTAGATTTGGAAAGGATCGTCGGCCTTGGAGAGAAACTCCTACAGTATCTGGGAAATAAAACTTCCTGAGTGCAAGATAACCATTTATCAGCACAAGTTTATACAAAGGATCCAAACGTATCTGCAGAAAGTATTATCTGAGTACTTGAGACATGTTGTGTGCACAAGTTAGTATATTGTTAGTGAGGTTGCGTCTGTCAAATGACCTAGTATTTGGTGTGTACACTCCACAGTAGTATCTCAAAGCCAACTTTTGCTACACGTAATTTTTTTTGGCCTCAAAATCTATACCTGACGTTTTCTTCAACGTTCATATTACCTCAATGTAAATGTATTACAGTACATGCAGTAGTAATTACAATCTATAATATACTCTTTAGGACCAAATGTTTTAAAGAAACTTTATAATTTTTGTATGTATTTCATGCTTGTCTAAGATATCTTCAGCAAATTAGTTATATTGTATGCAGATGATAGTAAAATATTTGCAGGAGTAAGTATTTCTTCACATACCACCTAGTATCTATGAGGAAGATTAGGCGTCTTAGCATCTTATCTCGTGCCCTAAAGATAATATCTTGTACACGAGAGACACTTTTACAACACGATTACGGTTATGATTCGTCAGTGATCTGTATTTTGCACCTCTTATGGTAACCGTGATTGGTATCAGTGATCTGTATTTTGCACCTCTTATCAAGTCAGTGCCTTCTGCGCTTTGATGGAAAAAAAAAAAAAAAAAAAAAAATTAAAGGATTGGGATCAGTTGGTACAAAAAGTTTTGGATGATTCCCATGAATTCCACAGTTTGGTCCACTCTGGACCTGCATGGGTTCCATAGGCAACTGCTGGTTGGGTGAAAGAACAGACGTGTATAAGAAACACACGTGGACCTTACTGTATATCACAGAAATGTACACATCGTGTGCTGAAATAGTGTCTTAAAAAACACAAATAAAAACTGATTGTTGACTTTTTCATTGACTGTCCCACTTACATTTTACCTCCATGTTGTACTTTTATATAAAAACACATCATGATCTCACGGAGTCCAAAGCTTGGACCAGGACAAACATCAACGTTCTCCGTCTGAATTATTTAGTCTGATATTGACCTTAAACCTGTGGTTCCCAACCTTTTTTGGCACGATGACCCCAGAGACTTTTCAGTAGGTGTCGCTCATATTTTTTAACACTTTTTGTTTAAGATTGTGTCTGGTGTTTTCAATCATAATTTAAAAAATGACTAAAATCTATTAGTAATACTTCAAATAAACCATTTGTATTGTAGCCGACCCCATATGGGATCGCGACCCCAAGGTTGAAGATCCCTGCCATAAACACTCAATAAACCAAGAGGGAGTGATACAAATAGGCTCTGGTGTTGTTGTACTGTACTGTGGGTACTGTATGAATAGTACTTTCGGGGGGGAAGGAGGGTCTCGGTCGGTTTATATAGGTATTAACTTTCGGGGGGGAAGGGGGGTCTCGGTCGGTTTATATAGGTATTAAATTACATTCAAACGCCTTCTGGGGGTCTTTGAGTCGACTGTTTGGTCTCGAACCTGCATTTCACAAAAATAAGAGGGCGTTTTATTGAAATTGAAAGCGACAGGGTTCATTCACTCCTCCCGTGGTCGTGCAGTATGCAGCCTCCGGGTACAATCGGTACCACAGGACACTCTTTGAAATGTGAGCCGCCTTAAGCTGCCACACATTATTAAAACAGTTCTTTTCCCAGGGTACCGAAATCATCACAAGTAATGAGATTAGTCCAGCGGTTTTCCCAAATACAATCCAGAAGACAGAAATACTGCCACTCTCCTGTTAGCTACCCGTTAGCTTAGCTTCAACGTAGAGAATGTGGAACTTTCTCCAAGCATAAACAAAGAAATCAAACACATTTCGCAGGAATATCAGGGAATGCCTGGGTTTACCTGGAGTATTGACCATAACAGGCTGCAGGTGGCGCTAATACAACTCAAAGAATGCACTGACCTGTAACCTGCACTCTAGTATACCAGCCTTTGCAGCTTGGAGTTAGAGGCGTATAAATAACACTGTTGCATCAGCACACTCATCTCCTGAACCAGGTCATAACAACTGTGTTTATAGCACCACCTGCAGGGGAGGGAGGAGTTTATTGTTTATAAGCAGCAAGTCATAACTATTGAACACTTTTTATTTAAAAGCCACACCCTGAAGACAACTGTTGTTTGGTGTAATGCTAACGCTAACCCATTACTGTAATGGATTAGCGTTAGCTTCACATTACCCTTCTAGTTACTGTACTATACTACATACTGTACTACACTGGGGTACCCTTATCCAACATTTGACCATTTTGCTAAACCCTCATATAACATGAGCCTGCAGTTGGCCTACAGTTCCCACATACAGAAGCTGCCTGGGGTGTTATACACATTTACCATATTTAGTGTAATAACAAATGATAATACGTCAAATATTGTAAAATAACAGGTTGTTTCTATGACTTTATTTTTGTTATGCTAAAGAAAGCAGACCTTCGACTGTGGACCTGAGTTCTCTCTTTATATTTACTGTACAAACAGAAGGAAATGAATGGATTTCACAAGGAGCACAGCGGCACGATACGCTACTTCATGTTTCATGAACCAAGTCAGCATCTGAAAATACGAGGAACTGGGTTATGGACGTTTGTTTGACGGTTTCATCTTGGCACCACGAAAACCACCGAACGTTTGGTTTCATCTTGGCACCACGAAAACCACTGACATGGAAAAAATTCTAACTGGGAAAATGTCTCCCACAAATTTCCCAAGGTCACGACCACAAAGACACTAGACATGTCCAAAATACAACCATGGACTACAGGCCTTCAGTGGTTTCCGATCTGGAATCCAAACATAACTCTTCTGTGGCCCCAAAGATCCTGTAAGGCCCGTTTATAGACAAGAAATAAAACAGACAGGTGAGGTTTTGGTGTGGGCCACATAAAAGTGTTAGGCCCAACACAGAGCCAGACAAAGACATAGGTCAAGGTTTGTAGCCCACGCTGTAGAAACCAGGCTGGTGAAAGTGGTCCGCTGTAGTGTATGTGGCAGCCCACACCAAATGTGTCCCTTTGTGGCCCAAACAGACTATCATGGAAGCCATCTTGAGATGTGGACTAGACAGGTGTCAACAACACACACTACGGGTCATTCTTTAATATTCATCAGCCCCGTTTGAACATATTTATTCAGGCTGTCATGACATTAATAAATACAGATACAGTACATATCGTGGTTCATAAGACTAAAAGTATGTGATGTTGGTCACACCGTTTTATTTGGGGTGTATATGTACAGGCGAAGGAGCTGTGGGAAAGTCTCTTTTTCTGAGAATGAAAATAAATCTTAATTTTATCTCCACGATTTGCAGATACGGTCGGAGTTAGTGGGTGAAGTATTTGGAATTTATGTACACAACAAAAAAAAACAAACATTTTTTTTAGAAAATATGGCGAATTAAATTAACAGGATGAAACAAATAAACAAGAAAACTGTACACACGCAACAAATACTCTCTAGCTACTGTACATACAATCAGCTAAGTGTATTCACATATGTCAAATATGTGGGTCTACCCCACAGGTGTACACTGAACTACACGGGGCTAAACGTTTGTCCGAACCCAAGTTAAAAAAAATAGTCAATGACCCAAACGTGGTTAAAAATATGTAACGACCCAAATGATGTGGGCCACATCCCAGTCAAATTAAAAAATAAACAAGGCCCTTTTACTGACTAAAGAAAAAAAAAAAAAAAAAAGGAGCTGTAGATAGCTAGCATTGTTTACTGCTGTTAATTACAAGATTAATACAGCACCTGTATTAACCTGATATGCACAGCTAATTAGCCTAGCTTAGCACAAGAGGTTTCACTGTGTTTAGTCAGATTAACGTTGTTTCCTGAAAGTTTTACTTTTTTTCATGAACTTCTGAGAAACTGGTATGCTAAAGACGCTAACGCTACTAGGATTCTAGAATAGCTAAGCTTTTGGGCTAAACTAAGTGTGGAATCAATCTCCCAAATCATAAAACTAACATTTATGTTTCCCAAAATGTCAAATCAATCTGTAAAATAATTTGAGTGAGTTGTTATTATTATATTTCAATAGTACAAACATGCAGCTGCGCAGGGAAGAAAAACCCAGAAGTATGAATGTTACAGATCCAGAATGCAGCTGGGACATTAGCTTCAGGCGTATTTACATTAACGTTAGAGATAATTATGGGATGTGACTGCAGGAACGCATGCTGTTATCGTCCAGTTCTTTTTTTTTAATCACTGTTTTAAATGGTTCATATTCACACCAACCTCTGCTAATTGTTTTGTCATAGAACAACAGAACGCTGTTAGTTATTGATAAAGTGAGTAGAATCTAGTAAAATACTACAGTAATACTGAGTGTACGGGGAAGGTGCACTCGTCGTTATTAAACATGCATTTATTTCCCTTTTTTCATTTTCAGATTTGTCATCAACCCTGCTGTCCAGGTTCACTGATCTTTACTGTATCTCAAAGCGTGCAACTGCGCTAGCGTGGACACTTCAGTTTGTATCGTGAATGAAACCATGGTTCGTGGGTGCACCCCCACCTGGTCACAGATCCTCCCAACGCCCACGTCCTGGTCTCGGTCTGACTGTACATGAGGATTTGTAAACTGCCTGGTTGGCTACAGGTACAGATAAGGACAATGGTTTACATGTCTGTCTGTTTTACTGCCATAAGGACAACGGTTTACATGTCTGTCTGTTTTACTGCCAGCTCCCGGGGCTAGACATCCGGGAGGTGATTGCGCCGGTTGCGGCTCTTCCTCAGGTCCAGCAGGGGCTTCAGTTTGGCCAGGTCACCTCTGAGGGGCCCCGGTGGCTGAGGCTGCTGCTGTTTTGGTTGTTGTTGTTTCTGGAGCTCCTTCCTCTCTTTGCAGTACTGCTGGACCGCCATGCTCTCTGCAGGACTGAAGGCTGACAGCAGGGCCTTGGGGTGCAAAGAGCTGGCCCAGGCCCAGGGCTGCTGCTTGTCCATTAACACGCTCACCATCGCCTCGCTCAACACGCGCAGGCGGATCTTGGCCACGGTTCGCTTGAAGCCGTTCTCGGTGGTCAGGCAGTAGTAGAGACCCTGGTCCGAGAGTTGCACGGAGCGAATCAGGAGGCCCTGCTCCGTGGAGAGGACGCGCTCACTCAGCTTTACCTACAGTTGGCAAAGTTGATTTATGTCAGTCCTTGCATCCTAACGGTTTGCACGTACATTGCTGGACTTTAAACCTGCTGACAAAATAATTAACAGCTAAAGAAATTTTGTTTCATCTGTGCAGCCAGGCCCTAGTTTGGAAAAGACTCATGGCATAGACCAAAAAAAAAACAAAACAAAACGGCAGTGATTTATTTTTAAGGCCAACTTCCAAAACAAAACTGCAGTGATTTATTTTTAAGGCCAACTTCTTATCCTCATGAGGAAACAGCCATAAAACGGCCATTACTCCGTGTCTGCTCCACAGAGGCCACAGCTAAATCTCCAAACGATGGGTCTTCATCATGCAGCTCCCTGCATTCAACCTCTTGCTGAGTTTGAATCCTCACACGAGGATTAAAAGGTGTCAAATATTCAGAACATGTTTGTCCTCCGAGACTCCGGCAGACACTGGTGATCATGTTTGATCTGTGGAGCTGCTCATTGCGGCACTCCCCCTTCAGGCCATTCAAGACCAAGAAGTGACTCAGTTATTATTAAGACGAGTCAGACATTTGATATTAAAGCAACAGTCATGGGAAAATGGTTTCCATTTTGGTTTTAGTTTGGGTGTGAAAAGATGAAATATAGAACATCTTTTTAGCATGTCCAAAAAAGGTTAATTAAGTAGACAAGGGCTTGAATATGGGCCACATATTCATACCAGTCATCTATTACTCACATATTGACCACCAGGGATGGCTCGATCCGATACTAAGGGTAGATCCTGGTCCGACATGGTCGAAATCACAAAAATAAGACGAGTGTAACCAGGTTGATCGCACTGTGTACTTTAAACCCAGCTGACAGAAATATGGGCCTTTTTCGACAATTATTAAAAAAACACACACTCCAGAGGGCAGAGTTGGGGAAAAAATATGACAAATTTGAAATGTGAGGTAAACAGACAGAAGCATCAATATATGGACTAAACTAATGAAATACTTCTATGTTTGTGTAAACATAAATAAACACTAAAATACTGTGTAATTCAGTGCAAGATAGTATCATGTTCGATAAATAATATTGTTAATATAAATAATAATAATAATAATGTTCAATAAATGTTAAATCAGATTTGACAAGTTCTAAATGTAATATAAACTTAGTATATGAAAATAATTTTTATATTTTGTTGACTAAAACTACAGGCTCTAGTGAAGTTTTAGTCAATAAAATATCAAAATGAGTAATTCTATAGTTCAGTTTTAGCTAATAAAAAAAGTTTTATCGACTAAATCGGGACAAAGACTGAGTTACAGTTTAGTCCGAAGACTAAGACGGAGACTGAACCAAAACAGGAAGTGAACGTTAGCGACCAAACCAAAACAGGAAGTGAACGTTAGCGCTGTCTGAGCATCAAACCGACCTCTTTCCTCCTGTCGTTGTCCCTGTGTATGAGCCATCGAATGGAGGCCTGAGGAGACTTGGGAAGACACTCCAGGAAGGTGGTGTTGTTTTTCACGCCATATTGTGTCATCTCCACTGCATTTCTGTAGGCTGCAACACAAACGCACACGCACACACGCACACACGCACAAAGACGTCACTCTCTGACAGATACAAGTCTCACAGATGGACTCAAATCTGTCCCACATCCCGACCGGGGCCGGCAGAATGTCACGGAGCTTAGTTGGACACCTGCCTCACCACCCTACTCCCACACACTATCCTCCAGCTTCTGGAAAAATCCACCCAAAAAAACACTCAGACTTCAGTCTCGACTCATTTAGCACGTCATTTCTGCTGCAGCTAAACGGTCCATCATTCGGCTGGAGGTATGACAGGGTTGTGACTAATTAGTGCTAATGACCATATGGTTGGTTCCAGCGAGCTGGAGTTGATCTGGAGACGTAAACTCTTCTTGGAAAAATGGAAATGGAAAACTCTGGGGAGTTAATCCTCTCGTTATGCTGCCAGTGCGTTGGATGAATTCCCTGAGGCGCTGAAACCTTGGTGTAAACTGCTGTGATTGTTATTGTCCGACCATTGTTCCCATTCTCTTCGCCAAAAGTAAATAATAATTTGTAGAATAATCTATTATTGTTTTTGAGTGCTGGTAATTAGCAGGTGGTCAGAGGTTGGACAAACATATTAGCGTGAATTAACTGTAAACTGTTTTTGTCCAATTAACAATAACAAGCTTCTGTAGCACACAAAGAAATGTTTTGTAACAATAATCTTGGCTTCTGTAGCACACAAAGAAATGTTTTTGTGACGTGTTCAATGAAACCAGTCCACAAAACCAAACCAAAACCAAGAAAAAAAACCAATACAAATCAACATAAAAACAGCGTAATGTTAGCTAAAAAAATGTTAAAATCACAAAGGGATATTGGTAAAAAAAAACTGAAGTAGAAGTAGTAAAATGTCTTTAAATTATGAAGCCCAAACTAAATATTTGACAAAAATGTCTTTAAATTATGAAGCCCAAAGGTTAGCCTAAATACATACACTGTATATAAACCAACAAAGGTAACAAGGTAAAGACAGTTGACAGTCAAATAAATGTTAGGTTGCTAGAAAAATTAGCACAGCAGAGTTAGCATAGAAAAGTTAGCATAACCGCTAAATGACGAAAGCCAAAGTTTGTCAACATGACTGATTTGAACATAAAATGTACAATAATAAAATAACATAAGAATATTAATAATAAGGTTAGGCCAGAGACAGCTAATTGTTAGCTGAAAAATGAACATTGCTGAAACCTAGCTCATGAAAACATTTGATTTATTTTTACTCCATGTATTTCAATGTCATTGTTAAATTCCTTTTTATTTACCTTTCAGGTTGAACCCTCTGCACTGAGTGAGTGGGTTTCCATGCATCACGTCCTGTCTTCGGCTTCTCCTGAAAAGAAAAACAATAAAATTAGCATGACTGTCCACAGAAACACACGCAATCATAACAACAGCTCTCGTCTCATTGACACTGGACGGATGGGGAACATTTGACCGCGGCGTTCCCATCTGTGGCTCATGTGTAAACAGAAGACACATCTTTCCAAAAAAAACAGACAAAATCTCTGCCGCTCCCCGAGCTCTTGTCCTACGACCAAACTAAACTTGACCTGGACGTCTGACTAGAATGTCAAGAGACACACAGCTGGTCCTGGACAAAACCTGAGAGGTTTCACTCACTGAAACCAAAGTCTGTTTTTGTCTGGACTCAGGAACTGAGGACGAAAAACACCAGCAGCAGCAGCAGCAGCAGCAGCAGCAGCAGCAGCAGCAGCAGCAGCAGCAGCAGCAGCAGCAGCAGCAGCAGCAGCAGCAGCAGCAGCAGCAGCAGCAGCAGCAGCAGCAGCAGCAGCAGCAGCAGCAGCAGCAGC